ATCGGTTCTAAACTACGGTACGTCAGATACTATACTGGTCGTGTTGGGTCGTCATATGTTCTATATGTAGCTAGTGGTCGTACTCCTACTATTTCTTATATATATATATATATATATATATAGGAAAAGTCTTAAAAATGCGTATTGCCTAAAACCCCCAATGGGGGCTATGGCGGTCCAAGTTATTTTTTGCATCAATTTTGCATGAAAAAAATCTCGTCACGGGTGTTTAATCCATGCCGTATGATTTTTCAAACGGCACTGTGCCTATGGGTGAAAATACTGTTTATTTTCGCCCATAGGCTAATATATATATATATATATTTATTTATTTATACAAGAAACTAAATAGAAAAGAGAAAAAACTAAAGAATAGATGGATATAAACTTTTGTATACAGAAAAGGATAATATTAGAAATGGCGTGGGCAAAATAATAGACAAAGATTTAAAAGATAAATTAGTTAATGTCAAAATAGTAGGTGATAAGCTCTTAGTACTTGAACTTGTATTAGGGGAAGAGATAATTAACATAATTAGTACTTATCCACCACAAGTAGGATTAGATGGTAGAATTAAGAGATAATTTTGGGAGGACATAAAATAGTCCAAGACATACCAAATGGAGAGGGGGCCTTTTTAGGAGGGGATTTAAATGGTCATGTAGGGAAGGATAGTAGACGATATAAAAGAGTACATAAGGGATATCGGTTTGGGGAAAGAGATGAGATGGGTGAGGCTATTCTAGATTTTGCTTTGGGCTACGACCTAGCAATAGCAAACATTTAGTTTAAAAAGCTAGATGAATATTTAATAACCTATAAAAGTGTATCACATAAAAGTCAGATAGATCTCTTCTTAGTTAAGAAGGTAGATCGACCATCATGTAAAGACTGCAAGGTTATCTTAGGAGAGAGTTTGACTACCCAACATAGGCTTGTGAGTATGGATTTCTCCATAAAGACATGGAAGAGAAGGGGTGAAAGTAATGGGGGTCCTAGAACTAGGTGGTGGAATATAAAAAGTGAGAAAATATATTTATTTAAGGATAAAGTAATTGAAGAGAGAAAATGGAACTTTGAACATGATGTCAGTGTAATATGGAATGAGATGGCTTATTGTATCAAGAAAGTGGCAAAAGAAGTTTTAGAAGAGTCTAAAGAGAAAAAAAAACTTTGATAAAGAAACTTGGTGGTAGAGTGATGAGGTTCAAAAGGCTATAAGCGAAAAACGATCATGTTATAAAACTTGGCAGTGTGATAGAAATGATCAAAACTTACAAGAATATAAAAATGCTAAGAAAAATGATAAACAAATAGTAAGTAAAGTTAAATTTAAGGCATATGATAATCTATGCAATAAACTAGGAACAAGAGAAGGTGAAAAAGATGTTTTTTTTTTTTTATAATGTTAACATTGTATTGCTATAAAGAGAAAGAATACAACTGTTAGAGGGTAAAGAGGACCGAGAAAACCCACGGGACAGGTGTCTCGCTAAAAAAATTGGTCCCGAGACCCTATACAAAAAATTGGCCTTGTCACTTTCTTGATTAGAAAAAATAGTGTAACAAAAAATGGGGCTTATAAGTACGCCCGATTACAAGGTGAAAAGACAGGCTGACTTCAGTCCTAGAAGCCGTCTGTGGTCCAGATCAAAAAAGGAGATGGTCCGGTCGGGGTCTTCCACACGTGCTCGTGCTCCGTCTTTAGCAAGCAGATTGGCGAGCTCGTTCGACGTCCGCCAGATATGCTTCCGTAAGACGTTCATGTCCCTGCAAATGTGGTAAATTTCATAAACAAATCCTGGAGAGGTACCAAGGGGGAGAAGTAATGCCTGCCGCCCAAGAGATGACATTTTGAGCATCTCCTTCCACCATCAAGATTTGGCCTCATGAAGGGTTAAAGCTTTTGAGGCCCATAAGAAGTGCCAAAGCTTCTGCTAATTGGGAGTCTCCATGTCCAACATATTTCGAATAAGTTGGAAGGATATTGCAGTTGTGATCACGAAAGACCCCTCGGGCACCTGATGGGCTTGGGTTGCCCAACGAACAACCATCAAAGTTCAGTTTCATAGTATTTTCAAGAGGGGGCTGCCAATTGTGAGGTCTTTGGTTTTTGTGAGGTTGTAGGTGAATGATATTCTCCCACTGACTGAGAAAGATATTAGTGGGGATCCCAGCGAATTCCCTTTGGGTAGAAGCCCAAAAAGTTACTAGAGAAGTAACCTTATGGAAGAGCACTATAGTAAATTAGCAAAAATAAGAGAGAGAAAATGTAAGGATCTACTAAATTAAATGCATTATGAGTGTGGATCAAAGGGTCTTCGTGATAGATGACTATGTCAACAAAATGTGGAGAGTTTATTTTAAAAAAGTCTTAAATGACAAACACAATGGGAACATAGCGGTAAAAGGAACTAGTGGTACAAATGAGAGTGGAGGTCATAGATACATTTGTAGGATTAGGATATCAGAAGTGAAATAAGCTTTGAAAAGGATGAAGATAGAAAAGGCTTTAAGACCAAATGGTATCCCGATAGAGGTTTGTAAGTGCATGGGGCAGATTGACATTGATGGGCTGACGAAGATGTTCAACAAGATGTTGAGAACAAAAAAAATGCCAGATGAATGGAGGAAAAGTATTATGGTACCTATTTACAATAATAAAGGAGACATACAAAATTGTGTGAACTATCCAGGGACCAAGCTTGTGAGCCATGCTATGAAGTTCTGTGAGAGGGTGATTGAGCAACAATTAAGGAATGAAACGAGTGTATCTTAAAATCAATTTGGTTTTATGCCAAGAAGGTCAACAACTGAGGCTATTTTCCTACTTGGGCAACTGATTGAGAAGTTTAGGGTAAAGGGAAAAGACCTTCACATGGTCAATAAATGATTAAAAGAAAGCTTATGATAGAGTACCTCGAGACTTGATTTGGCAGGTGTTGGAAAAGAAAGGGGTTTCCAGACACTACATCGACTTAGTGAGAGATATGTACACTAACTAGTGACAAACAACTAGTGGAACGATGAGTGAGTTTTCAGTGACAATAGGTCTACATCAAGGGTCAGCATTAAGTCGTACCTCTTTGTCTTAGTTTTGGATGACTTAACTAGGCACCTACAAGATGAGGTACCCTGGTACATGTTGTTCGTAGATGACATAGTTTTGATCGATAAGGCCGAATTGGCGTCAACACAAAGTTAGAACTTTGGAGGGATGCTCTAGAATCCAGAGGTTTTAAAATTAGCCGGACTAAGACCTAGTATATGACTGCAATTTTAGTAATAATAGGAGTAGAGACGAGGAAGGACTTAAGATTGACGACCAAGATGTACAAAAAGACCGCACTTTTGATATCTTGGGTCAATACTCTAGGAGCATGGGGAGAGTGAGGAAGATGTCACACATATAATTAGAGCTGGGTGGATGAAGTGAAGATGTGCAACTAGAATTTTATGTGTTTGCCACCTACCAATTAAGCTGAAGGGCAAGTTCTATAGGATAACTGTGAGACCTTCTTTGCTCTCTGGGGCTTAATGTTGGGCGGACAAAAAATAAAATTATACGCACAGAATGAGTGTAGCGGAGATGAGAATGCTGAGATCGATGAGTGGTAAGACAAGAAGGGATATAATTTGAAATGAGTCCATTTGGGAGAATTAAATGTGGCACCAATAGGCGATAAGATGCAAGGGAGTAGACTTAGCTGGGCTGGACATGTGTGGTGCGGACCAAGTATAATACCTATTAGGAGGTGCAAGTTAGTTCAAGTGGAAGGACTTAAAAAGGCAAGGGATAGGCCCAAAAGGATGTGGTTGGAAGTGGTTCGAAAGGATATTGGGACTTATGCCATCACTGAGGGTATAACCTTTAATAGAGTTAGGATTCGTATAGCCGACTCCAATTAATTGGGAAAAGGCTATGATGATATATATATA